CCCCCCTCCCGCCCCTGCCCGGGGCCCCCGGGAGCTGCCAGGCCGGGGGGGGGGGGGCAGTTCAAGGGCAGCCCCCACGTGCCCCCAGCTGCACGGGCTGGGCCCACCCGGGAACAGGAAGGACCAAGCCAGACCCTCTCCTGGAGCCACGATGCCCCAGGGCTGCTTGGGGGCATCTCTGCCTCCCCCATCCTCTCTGCCCCGTGGGCACCCGGGGAGAACTTGGCCTTGCCACCGAGACAGGCGGCACCGGGGTCTGCAAGGCCTGGCAATGGGATCGGGGCCTCTGCCAGCGTGAGCAGGCCCGGCCGTGCCCCCCACCCCTGCCAGCACTAACGAGCTAAGTAGGGGATTACAGGCTGTGCGATTACGCATGCAGACGGGCAGCGGCCGGTGCCAGCCCTGACGACGGCTGGGCTGGGATCCGTCAGCCCCTTCCACACGCCACGACCCCCCGTGGGAGCCACCAGCCCCACTCCGCACGGCCAGACGCTCACCACGACCAGGACGCCGGTGGCAGGGGTGGCCCCTGCTCCCACCCACGCCTGCAGCTACCCCGGGCAGCGCCGCTGACACGGACAGGCAGTGCCTGCGCGGCACGAGGGCCCAGGCCGTGGCCCTGTGAGACACGCAGGACGCGCGAGCCCACGCAGGCTGCGCAGGACCCTGCGGTACGCACGAGCCGGGACCTTGGCGGCCGCGGCCCCCCTGTATCCCGGGGCGGGGGTGATGCCTGGGGCTGTGTTGGGGCAACGGTGTTGTGTGGGGGTGGACTCTGCAGCTTCCTGCCCGCCCCGTGGCTCGGGGACCTCGCAAGATGGACAATGTAGTGCTGGGCACGGCCTGGCCCCTTCCTCCCGCCCTGTGGCCGGCTCCTCGGGCGCGAGCAAGCGCTGGACCCGGGGGCAAGGAGTGCCAGGCCTGGGCGGGATGGCAGAGAGTGCCCCATCCTCCCCCGCAGAGTGGAGCGGTGGGCAGCCGTGGCGCTTGGGGCAGGGGTGGGGGCAAGAAGGGACCTACCTCTCCGGGGCAGCCGGGCAGGGGGCGGGCCTCAAGCGCTGGAGCCGCGTGGCGCAAGGTCCCGGAGCCGGAGGGCGATG